TGTTTTGGAGGTGTTTTCCAACCTTGGTGATTCTATGATTCTATACATTTGCAAGATAAGCTTCCTAAGCCCTAGAAGTTCAGCAAGTTATGTGAAAGTTTCCATACGTGCAGAATAATAATCTTTAAAGCAACCCAATGTATTTTCAAGACACACATGGGCTTGGAGGTTTGTGCCCTAGTGAGCAGAAATAACAAAATTATGTATCTGCACATACAGATGCTGTTAAAGCTTGTGGACTGAAAAAGAGGAGAGAACCCAATTTCTTGGGCCACTTACTGCTCTTCTTCTAAATGATACATCAAGACTTAATGGAAATGAAAATCTTTTGTTTTGTAGAAGCCAATTGTGAAGAAGGCCCTCCTGGTAGTTCTGCAGTGGTGTTTCAACCATAATTTCGGCGTCAGACTTTATGCACTAGTTGCACTTAAAAAAATCTGGGGTATGTGCAGAATGTTGGATATGGAAGAATTTGAAGCCCTGTCACCAGTTATTGAATCGAGCCTTCAACAAGTGGAAAACATGCATGGCACAGGGTTAGTAACAGCTTCCTGACCTACAGCTTTTTTTCTTTAATGATAACCAAAAGCCACTCAGCTATAGGCTGTGGGCTAGCGTTGAGTGTCCTTGTGAGACCTAAATGAGATACCCTTTATTGCCAGACTGACTTCTGTTAGAATTTGAAGACTTTAGGGACCTTATTTCCTGAATGCTGTGGCTTTAAAATTGGCCCTTAACAGTTAAAGCATTTATTTTCCAACTACTAAAAAAAATCCAATATGTTGCATTTGTTTATTTGTGCATCATGCGTTACTTTCTGCAATTGCAGGAATGCTAGAAGAAACTGGCAGAGAATCCAGGACCATTTCTTCTTTGCAACATTTCATCCACTTGAGGACTACAGTCTAGAGGCAAGTCTAAAAAAATATCATTGTTTGTCATCGTATTTGCATAGTTTACAAGTATATTTTTAACTTTCTCATCTGCTCCAATGTAGAGAAAGCAGTGATCAATTGTTACTCATTTAAAACTCTGAAAAAAATAATTTCACCTTAATTGTCGTGGGTTTTACATAGAGAATACAGTCAAATTCTCTAATTCTGTGCTAAAAACCTAGGTCAGTCAGGAAAAGATAAGCATGATGAACATGCCCATCTGTGCAGGAGTTGATCATGTTTTCTATTTGTGTCTGGAAAAGTTACTGCTACTAACTATAGACCTGAATCACGCAGTTGTCAGAATTTTTGATGCTTCTGTTCTTAGGAAAAATACAACAAAACAACAGGCTGCTGAACTAAATTGTTAAGTGTGAGTGGGATAAAGATCTGTCATAATATCGAGCATCTTTTTCAGCTGTAATTTAAACTATAGCTTAAATAACTGAAAGCTGAATTAATGCTGGACAGGAGGCAAAAATAATAAGTGCAAATAAAAATAAGGGATGGGAATACAATTTAAAATAGAAGAGAAACATGAGTGTGAAAAGGGGGACAGTTTTTGGCAGAAGCAGTGCTGTGGTTCAGAGAAGGAGCTGACTGGTTATTTTTGTTTCTGGAAATTGATATTCTGTGAGGTATTTCTTTGAAAATTAACTGCTTGATGTGACTTAGAGACCTTTGCTGCCCAATTATGCTAACAATAACCAGAAAAACAAGGCTGACACAAGTAGTGAGATTATAAAATGACAGATAAAAGATGTGCACTATAAAGTTGCCTGGAGGTTAATGATCTGTTTTGCTTTCTTTGAGTGTTGCCCTGCTAATAATGCTGTTACGTTGCAGACGATATTTTGTACTCTTCCACGCCTTTCAGAAGTTGCTGAGGATGAATGGATCTCTCTCTGTAAATTTGAGAGGTTCACTGACATTCCTTTGCCACCAGCATTTCAGTGGTATCGTTCTCGAGCTGAACTTCTTGATCTAAAACTAAGTGACTGGTCTCAGCAAGACACAGGTAAAATACAGCTAATGTATATTAAACGTAATATTGGTTTGTGCTGAAATAGCTGTAAATTTCTGTACTACTCTGAACTCAGCATGCACAGGATCCTTATGCTATCCTGCTGTAGTAGTCTTGAATCTGTATGAGCAAAATATATACCATAAAATAATAGTAGATTACTTGAATGTTATCTACGGTACTACCATTTATAAAATACTGAAGCAGTAGCTTCACTACTGCTTGGATATCCATATGACTGATGTTTGTTTTTGGAGGTTCAAGTTCAGTTGACACAGATGGCCAAACAGAGTGGACTGATGTTCAGAAAAAGATCATACCCTGGAAACACAGCACTCCTACTTCAGACCTGGAAATGGTATTGCAGGACCGTGCTGCTAAGCTCGGTAAATCAAACAGCAGACTGATTGTGGTGGCTTCACTTATAGATAAACCTACCAATTTAGGAGGTAAGCTTGAATGGATGCTTTTGAACTTCTAGTTTAGACCTTAGAGAACAGTTGGCTAGAAAGGATGAATGTGAAAAACATAACGTTCAGTATGGTGGTACTAGAAATTTATTTTAGTACTACCTAGAGAAAGAGATGATTATCCTTCAGAAACATAACAAAGGGAAATGTTACCTGTTTCAGAAGTATTCTGTAGTTTACATTAGGAAATATAATAATATTGACATGTGGCATGCCTTAATTAAGTAGAACTTCACTGTAAATCATGTGATTTACAGCAGTTTATTAGGTTGTGCTTGCTGTTGTCAGAAAAATAGGCCCACAAGCTGATGCTGTCTGTGCTGCAGTGTGGCGTTGTGTCATTCTCCCAAGTCTTTCATTTAATTGGTACTGGATTTAGAGCTTAAATATGCTGTGCCCATGTCTGTCTGTTCCCAACAAGGCTTTTGTAGTGACCCACTACTCTGTGATTAGCAGTGTAGAAGCTGCCAGATGTAGAGCTCTTACAATTTTCATCTTTCTGCTTACTTACTAAACATTTCTTTCTGGTAAGATAGATGGAACAAAAGGTATAACCTTTTGAAACGGACCTAGAAAGTACCTGAAACTGATTGAAAACAGAGGGCTAAAATAGCAGGGGTGTTTTGTTTTTTGTTTGTTTGTTTGTTTGTTTGTTTTTTTAGGTTCTTTGTCCCTTCTTACTTGCTAAAACATCTTGGCTCAGCGTTTGTACAGTTTTCTATACGAAAATCACTTCAATTCTTCTATTGTAGGTTTATGCCGTACAAGTGAGATATTTGGGGCATCTGCACTAGTTGTTGGCAGCCTTCATTACGTGCAGGACAAGCAGTTCCAGCATCTGAGCGTTTCTGCAGAGCAGTGGCTCCCCCTTGTCGAGGTGAATGGAAACTATTTAGCAGCTCAGAAGTGTGCTGCAGCCTTCAGTGTATCAGATGCATAGTTCGCTACCTTATTGTTTCCTACTGCAAAAATGAGCCTATTTAACAAGCTCCTGCTGTCATTACTGACACTTAAATATTTTGGAGCGACCTTTGGGTCACCCTCATAACAATTTTATAACTTTACATCGTTGTGATTAAGTGCAGCACTGGAATGTAATGTTTACTTATAAAAGTCAAACAGCACTTAATTGATCTTAGTCCATTGCTCAGCCATTGAATTTGCCTGAAGCTAAATTGTGCTAAGCTTTTAGAGCTGATTATCTAGCTTATAAAAATGATTTCAAGAAGTATCTTTAATATTTGTGCAAAAATATGGTTGTGATACTTCATTAATTTGTTTTTCTGTATCAGCCATGGTTAAGTCATGTAAAAACATCAGCTCAATTTTTTCTTTATTCATGATGTTTATTTCCAGCATCTTTTTCCAGAGCAGTACAGCTGTAGTGTGTGTCCATCAGCATTCTGTTTTAGTGCATTTTTTATTCCTAATCTCTGAACTGGGGCACACTGGTAGAACTTCTGTTGCATGAAGAAATTGGAATCTAAAACAAATATGTAGTTTAGACAGTTGGATGAAGAAAAGTAAGAAATTCTTTACTTGAAGCTATCAGAAGTTGTAATACAGGCGTGTCAGACAGCTAAGTGAGCTGCAGTACATGCCGTGAGATTGTTTGGGGATGAGCTTTCCATGGTTAAATAACAAACATGCAACATATTTCATGCAAAAGTGATTCTTCTACATTCAGATAAACTTGGTCAAGGCTTGTAGCCTTGAAAGCACAGAAATTGCACAGCATTTGTGGAGTAAATTTTCCTGACATTATGTACCTTTTATGCTACCACTGAAGAACTTTGGCAATAAAACTCAAATTTAAGTATAAAAACTGTCCAAGTAAATTGCTTTTCTTTATTTAAATAACTCAGAAGCTTACAAGTGGTACTACTTAAGTATTTTTGTATTTGCCTACTTCTGGACAGGTGAAGCCCTCTCAGCTTGTTGATTATTTACAGCAGAAGAAGACAGAAGGCTACACTGCTATTGGAGTGGAGCAGACAGCCAAAAGTTATGATCTTACAGAATATTGCTTTCCAGAGAAGTCACTGTTATTGCTGGGGTAAAAACACGTGCCTTTTATAAGTCACCCTTACATCCATCCAAATGCCTTTCTGTTACCATGTTACTCATAGTCTGATCATGTGAAAATCAAGTGTTATTGGTGAAAGTGGAACTGTAACTGGAAGTGAGTGGGGAAACAGCGAAGAGTTTGGCTTGCTAAGGAATGGGAAGTATGGATCGTATCCATGGATATGTAGTATGTCTTCAGAATGTAGTTCTCATAGTCACCTTGTTCTCTTCTAATCAGAAGCATAGTTTTAATTACTGAAAACATTTGGTATCCTCTGATGTGCTTGTTCTGAAGAGGTGAAACATTGCAGGATACTGGTGAGCCTGACAATCCCTCATACCAAGACCTCAGCACAAGTAGGCACTGAGTTATGGCTGGTTTTGCAGTGTATGGATAGTTCAAAACAAAGGCAGAGAGGGCGTGCTAGTGCTGGGCATTCAGCTATTGCTGGCACAGTGAAATACACATTAAGTGCTCTACCAGATTTCCTACATACCAGCTTGTTCATGTTGTCCATTCAGTTTTATTTTTGTTTCAGCAATACATTATTGCTTTACAGAAAGTAACAACTTGTGCTCATATTTAAGGGCTGACAATTTTTCAAACAGTATTTCATTGCTATTGTGACTCTCACATCTTCTGCTTTCTGGAACACCTGTCTTCTCCCAGACATAATCACTGTTTCTTCTTCACTAGGAATGAACATGAAGGAATCCCAGCAAACCTGATTCACCACCTGGATGTCTGTGTGGAAATTCCTCAGCAGGGCATTATTCGGTCACTCAACGTTCATGTAAGTGGAGCTCTGCTGATCTGGGAATACACAAGGCAACAAGTGATCAAGCACAAACAACAGAAATAACTGCCAAGAGTTTCGTGCCTTATAGTATATCTAGGTGGCTTCCTATGGTGCTACAGCATGGGGTTCTGAAGAGAAAGATACAACTCAGGGCAAATGAGGATTCTTACATTTTGCATGTTTTGTTTTCTGCAGTTTAGAGTGGTTTTTAAATGCCTTAATACTTTACCTCCATAAATAAAAACTTGCATTGTGATAAACACTGTTTAGGCTGTGTGTGGTGTGTGACAGTACTGCTTGGTGAACATCAGCATTTTTACTGGATTTCTACTGCAGTTAGATTGTGACAGCCATGCTCAAAACTCAAGCTGTGCCTTCTGATAACCACAATCAAAGCTTCAAAGCTTCCTGTACACGAAGTGAACTGTTGAATGTCTCCAGCACCCAGAGGGGATATACATTTTTGCACCTGCAGGGTCAGTGAAGGTAATTTTTCATAGTATAAGTAAATTTAAGTGCCTTTTGTGGTCAAACTTATTGTTTAGTGGAGTTGCTTCAGTGTACGGTAATTATAAACACTAAATAACACAAAAGGCCATAACGTGAGATAAATAACTGTCCTATTTAGAAGTGGGCTGAAAGATGACTGTTACAGCTTATATGGATGGGACGCATGAAGTCTTTTAGATAGGTGCTGTTTTGTAAACTGACATCTGCCTTAAGATATATTTTGAAGTACTTAAAAATACCGGGCTAGTGACAAATATGAATTAGATACTTATACCATCACTACTCCCTTTTGACAAGGAAGAAAAGCTGGAAAAGCTTTATTGGGGAAAGTGGATCCACTTAAGAAAAAAGCAGTTGTCCATGTGATATAAAGAAAAGTAAATGCTATCACATAATCATTTATTCTTGCAGAACATTGACTGGAGTTCGTGAACAGCCCTGCACTGTATTTCTTTGCCTCATATTTATGAAAAAGTTGTCCATGACCATCTCTTTTCAGCAGACACATAAGGCCTTGCAGCAAGAGCAGCATTCTGCATTTCAGGAGGACGGATGGATTACCAGTTCTTGAACTCCAGAGGAAGTGTTGCTTTTGGCTGCTCCTTCCTGCCACAGATCTTGTGCTATGTAGATGCACTTGAATAAGCGCAGTACCTAAGACTTTCCAGCAGTTTCTGGAGGTTGAAACCCTTCAGATTCCAGCTTTTCTTTGTATTTTAAAAAATCCCTTCTTTTGTCAAAGTATTTAACCTGTTGAAAAAGGAAAAACAAACTTACTTTCAGCTTAAGAAACTAGCAGAATAAGGGCCAGAATAGCATGATAGCAGGATGGGGGCATACGTGGTTGTCAAACACCCAACTGAAGTAGGATTTTGTCTTTCTCCTCATGCTTGTAAAAGCAGGCCCTTGCCTTCTACCTCTCACTGCTGTGAGGGGAAGCTGTGGCTATCAGGTCGGCCCAGCACCTTTTCCATGTTGGGCACTGGTTTTTAACCTGAGCTCTGGCCAGCAGCAGAACTAGGAAAGGCATGGAGCTACTGCAGCTTTAAAGAAGAGGCCACGAAGCTGCTCAGCGGGCTGGAGCACCTCTGCTATGAAGGCTGAGGGAGGTTGGCTCGTTCAGCCTGGAGAAGAGGCAGTTCTGAGCAGACCTCAGTACGGCCTTCCACTCTTCGAAGGGACCTTAGAGGCAGAACAGGGACCGACCTCTGACGCGGACGCAGAGTGAGAGAGGCGGGGTTGTGGCCTTAAGCTACCAGCGGGGAGCAGCCCCCGGCCCGCGCTCACTGCCCGCCCCGCACCGCCCGGGGCCGGCCGCTCTGCTCACCCACTGCTGCGGACACAAGGACTCGAAAGACCTCCTCAGCTTCTCGCACCGCGGCGCGTCCTCCGTGTGCCCGTCCAGGCACCGCCAGAACTCGTCGCGTGCCGCCCAGCACGCTTTCCTCTCCTCCATGGTCGGGGCCGACATGATCCCTGCCGCGCTACACCGGCCCCGCACTCGGCCGCCCGGCCCGGCCCACACCGCCGGCGAAGGTCAGGAGCGCGGAAGCGGCGCAGCGCGCATGCGCTGGGAGAGACGAGGAGGCGGGAACAGCCAGCCTGTGGGAATGGTGCGTTGAACGGGAGGGGGGCGGTAAGTGTTTGCCGCAACTGAAGGCTTTGAATTACGTTTCCAGCTAGCAGTGACAGATAGCAAGAGCTCAGTTAGTTTGTTTTCTTTGCATGGAAGGACTCATGGCCTCCCTTAGGTCATGTTCTTTACCCGTTACAAAATTTCAGTGAATTTAATTTGAAATAGTGTTCTTGATGCAATATAGCCCTATGCCCAACTAATTATTTTGCTAGAAACAATAACGTAATCTTACCTGAGTTAGCCACAATCGACCAGGCTGCCCAGGGCCCCATCCAGTCTGGCCTTGAACACCTCCAGGGATGGGGCATCCACAACCTCTCTGGGCAGCCTGTGCCAGCACCTCACCACTCTCTCTGTAAAGAATTTCCCCCCTGACATCCATCCTCAATCTTCCCTCCCTCAACTTAAAACCACTTCCCCTTGTCCTGCTGTTATCTACCCTTTCAAAGAGTTGATTCCCCTCCTGTTTGTAGGCTCCCTTTAGGTACTGAAAGGCTGCACTGAGGTCATCCCGCAGCCTTCTTTTCTCCAGGCTGAACAAGCCCAGCTCGCTCAGCCTGTCTTTGTAGGGAGGTGCTCCAGTCCCCTGATCATGGCTCTCCTCTGGACCCACTCCAACAGCTCTCTGTCTTTCTTGTACTGGGGACTCCACCCCTGGACACAGTACTCCAAATGGGGCCTCACGAGAGCAGAGTATAGAGTGAAAATCAGATGGGCTTTAAGGTCCCTTTCAACTAACACTTCTGTCATTCTTCAATTTTCTTGCCTCTCAGATACCCATTAAGGATGTAACTCACGCTCTTTTAGTCTCACAGCTTTTCTTGTTATGCCTGGAAAAAAGATGATTGAAGAAAACGTAATTGTGTGTTTTCATTATCAAAAGATGAGTAATTTGAGCTAAGAAATACTATGAACTGCATACAGCATTCACCTCTTTCTGTTTCTCTTTGAAATGTTTTAACAGAGATTGCTGAAGGCAGCTGTCTCTCTAAGAAGCTCTCACTTAAATGAAGACAAAAGCATTTCATTTTAAACATCAGATGTTACTGTGCTGTGTTGAAGGCAAGCATTGGATGGGAGAAGGTTTCCCTGCAAGAGTATCAGTACTATTTCATGGAAGGCAGAAGTTCCAGTTTTTTTTCCTAGAGAGATTTTGAAGGCCTCCTTTATAAACTTTCAAGTTTCTGTTAATATTGATATTTTTAGGAAGTGAGAAGATGAGTAACAGCCAGAATCAGGTTAAACAGAAGGCCTGCTTCCAGTTCTCTTGTAGGCTTAAGAAGATCCCAAGTTGGAAGGAACCCCCAACGATCGCTGAGCTGAAATCCAAACCCTGTGTCTGAAGGCGGTGTCCAAATGCTCTTTGAACTCCAGGCAGTCTGTTTCAGGGTCCTACCTTATCTGCAAGTTGTGATGAAGGGAGTGTCCAGGAAGCATAGGGGGGAATTTGATGATAGACACAACTGTGATTTTCACCTTCTTCCAACCTCCATTCAGTGATCTGAAGTGATCTGAGGAGAGGCTTGCTTTTCTTTGTAACCTTTCATGGACATTTGTTGAGTACTGTGTAGAATGCAGTCTGAAAATCTCTAAGCTACCTTGAGGTTATGACAGAGGAAAAAATCCTAGCTATTTAGGATTCTTTTAAGGTGATGAAGGCATTTATGTTAATTATAGTGCTTGGTTTTAATGCTAATGTTCATTTTTTGGTCAGTTTTTCAGGAGGAATAAAACGAATATTTTTGCAAGAGCAGGTGATGGAAAGGAAGGAGCACAGACTAATTCTTGTTCCTGTTAGCTCCCACTTACCAATTCTCCAGACCCTTGAGGGATGAGACAAGCTTGCTTTGCATCAGTGTTGATGTTTCATTTCTTGCAGAAAAGCTCAGACGGGGAGCTGGGAATCTCCCTATTCTACAAACAGACTTCGATTTCCAAAGCTATTTCAATGGAAGAAGAAAAGCCGTGAGTTTCATTTGAATGCCTTCAAATTACCATGGCATGTTACACACTGAAATCTAAGAAATGGATTTCTGTGTCTCACTGAGACTGAAACACGTCCTACAATTCTCTATCAAAAATCCAGCAGCTACACCAAATACCTTTTCTCTCTGGAAGCATTTCAGTAACACAGAAGTGCATTGTATTGGATGGGTTTGCCTTCACATGCACAAAGATAATGTTGCTCTCATACATGGTAGACATTTGTGCCAAGTATTAATGCCAACTTTGGTAGGAGCCAAGCTAACAAGTAACATGCCTCTGGTCATATACAAACTCACACAAGACAACACGATTTTGGATATATGTTGGGAAAGCATTTAGAATGTATAGCAGGTCAAAAATCAAAAGGACAATATTATACAACTTCCTGTGTGTGCCTGCCAGGCTGGAGTCATTAAGGAGTTGGCAGCTTCAGAAGCCAAAGGGACAGCAATATCTACTGCTGGGAGGCTGCAGATCTGTGTTTCCTGGCCCATTGTGTATGATAGTGGCTAGCAGGGCAGAAAGACAAAGCTGAAGCTCACATTTTTAAGTCCTTGCCAATCCTGCTGCTTGGACTCTACTGGAAACCAGCTTTGTGTATCACTAGAAGCTGCATTTGGTGTAAATAACATGTGAGGAAAAGCAAAGGCCACTCTCCCCTATGGAAAGGCAGAAGGGAGCAACTCTCAAGTCTCTCAGTTGTCTTTTTATGCTCTTTGAAGCCTTAAGGGTGAGCAGCTCTCCACACGCTTGGTCCTTGGTCAACTTGGTCTTTTTGATAGAACAGCAAGCATTGCACTTAGATTTCTGAAGAGTTCCCAATAAATCTTCTCATTACAGAGATTGTATTGGACAGGTTCTTAAGTACAGTACTAATACGAGTTCTGCAGTTTCCCTGGTTCCAGACTTCTAACTCTCCTTTAAAAGATTGGCTCTTCATTACTGAAAAGCATGTTGGTTGCATCATAGCGTGTCTGTGACGCGTGTGGAGAAATGCTGATGGACACTCTATTTAGAATAAATATGTGGCTATAGAAAGATGGATAACACATTCTGCTCCAGTGGAGTTTCAGGTAGAAGAGATTGTATGAGGCTTTTTAATCTTCAGAAACTTTAGTTTGATCTACTGGTCCTGTCCTTAGGAATGCAATCTCTTTTTAAAAGAAGATTTTTAGGCTGTAGGCAGGCATCTGTTCACTTGATTTTCTTTTTGCTTTCAGAAGTTCCTTAAGCTCTTTTTTTAATTTCCTTTTTCTGATGTTAAAGACTTTTAACTAAGATGCAGGCTGTTATAGAAGAGCCCTAGAACGTGGCAGCTAATGAAGCAAATCTACTTGTTTCTCTTCTAATAGCAATGAGCTAATTAAACTTGTCTATCAAAATCCATTACAGCTGGCTGTTTCTGCAAGGACAGCTTGCACAGGGACTGGATCATGAAAGCAGCTTCTCAGCCTTAGCCTTCATCAAGAAGCAACTTGGCTTAGGAGGCATGAAAGGCTCAAAGCACTGGTCCCAGGCTCCGACTGTGGTGCTGCCCTGCAGAGCTTTATGGGCTTTGTTCCAGCAGCAGGACTGAATCACTGTGCTGTGGAGATTGCATACTGTGCTTCAGCCTTTGAGGCAGGCAGGGGAGCCCTGCCAGCTGCAACCTGATCTAGCTGTAGGCATCCCTGTTCACTGCAGGGGACTTGGACTGGATGACTGGTAAAGGTCCCTTCTGTCTCAAATGATTCTACAAACTCAGCCCTGAACTCCAAGGCACCAAATGTATCCAGTATATCCTTTACTGGTCCCAGATCACAAAGGTTCAATCTCGCTCTCACCTGAAGGCCTGATCCAGGGGCACCAAGTGCCTTCTCAGGAATTCTTTTCCTTCTTATACCTTGTCCCTTCTAGTGGGAAGGAATGACTCCAGTTCCTGTAATTCTTCAGCTTCAAATCTGTGAAGTTTCTGCATTTACAGACACGTACCCATATGGACATGCCACTTTCTTCTCATCCTCCTAGTTACATTCCAGGCTTCACTGTCTGGAAAGTTTCACTGAGCATCTGCCTGCCCTCAAGCCAGGTGCTCAGTGCAAGATATTGCCTGGAGAAATACAGGTCAGATCACCTGGTTGATATGTGTGTGTGTAATTCAGAGCAGCTTAAAATAGGTAGATCTAGTTTGCACAAGAAAGAGACTGTAATAAATTACTGATAGAAATCCCAGCCCGTGCCTCTGTTTAGGCTGCTCTCTGGAAGGATAAAGCAGCAGAAGCAGCATCAGCTGCATTTGGTACATCACAGTTTTACTGATACTGCTGGCCATTGCAGCACATGAGTTCCCCTGTGACCTGCACTGAATGTTAACAAGCCTGTACTAAGTGCAATTAGGTGCAGTTTGTAACATCATTCAGAGCATTTCTGATGTCCTCTGGACAGCACAATAAAATGCAGCGCAGAGATGGCAAAAAAAAATACCTCTTATTAGGATTATGGAAATCAGGACTCACACACTTGTTCTTGGCCTTGCCCCAAGCAGGGAGCTCGGGGAAGAACATAGGATGCTCTGAGGGTGACTTTAACAATCAAAAAGATCAACACAATGAAATGGCGTGACAGGAGATGCAATGACAAAGGAACTAGCACAACAGAAGGGTGTTACAAAGAGAAAGTACTCACCCATCCCTGAAGATAGATGCTCACAAGGGAAACTCCACAAAGGATGGATCTCCAACCAGAGATCCTTCCCCACTGGCAGTCAGCCCTTAAATGAAGTCTGAGAGAGGTGCAGCCAGGCTCCACCCCTTCCAGTCACACAGCTGAATTGCCTTCACCTGTGCTCCCAGGGCTGACCAGGTCCTTTCCCCAGGTGCTCAATCAGTGGTTCAGGCCTTGACTCAACAGTTCCCATGCAGTAGCAAGAAGATAAACCCAAAGATGCAGCATGTTGGAAGCTGGGAGCTTTGAGATCAAGCTTCTTCTCACCAGTAATTAGCACTACAGTATGCATGTAGTGTACCTTACCCAGCAGTGTACTGCTTCCCAGACAAATTTGGAAGCACAGTGAGGACAGCTCTGAGCTTTCCCAGATGGTTTTGACGGTCGCTGCCTGCAGGAGTTTGTGTTGAAGGCAGTGGGACTGGGAGCAGGGAGGAGGCCTCCCGTGCTGTACCTTGGGCTGTAAGACCAGACCAAAGGTTTGTAGGTCTCATCCTTCCCACCTGATCACCTTGGCCAGATGCAGCCCACTGTAAAGCCAACACAGGGGTGGTACAGTCAAGAGAGGGAAACAGCACTGCCTGAAGCCGAGTTTAAAATCTTTTATTACTTAGCTTTGCCAAACAGATAATGGAATCCGAAGTTGAATTGCTAAAATGTTTTGAAGTGGATGCCACCCCTGCCTGAGACAAAGAGGGCCTCAGTGGCAGCAGGGACCCTTAGGCTATGGCAGCAGTTCAAAAGAACACTTTTCATTTTGTATGCAACAATGTAAACTTCAAAAATAGTAAACTATAGCCTTTGTTCCCCCTTTTTTTTACATAGCATGTGATCTATCACAGATAGAAATTTAATGGCGAACCAAAATCGCATAAGTAAACATCCTGGTGCTTACAAGTTTCATAAAAAGTGTTACATTTGATGTAAATATATTACATTTTTAACTCTTAACACTCACAATTATGGAGTAAAGCAACTGGTGATCCACCCCTTAGTCCGTGTTCTCAGACCATACATCAGCAACCACGCTCTTGTCTGCTCTGTTGTTCATTTTCAGTCTGATTTTTCCACACATGACCAAGATTTTCCTTCCTCACACTAATGTTAATCAAGTGCAACTCCACACAGGGGTAAAACCTGTGCAAGCGAGACGAGAACCAGGCCCCCTGTGTGCAAACCTGCAGCCCACAGAGCTGGGCATGTCTTGGTATCAGCGGGACCTTGGGCTGCCCAGGGCTGGAAGCCTGAGCCTGCAGTGCCGCCACTCACAGCAGAGCCTGGTTCTCCATGGATAAAGACAAGAGTTCTGTAGAAGGCACTGGATTTCTCTTGCATGATTCTAAACATGAACTACATCCATGTGCAGTACAAGGAGATTTGGGCTCTGGACTGCTTTCCCGCTAGTACTTTAGTGCAAGTGCTTTTAGTACTTGAATTTTCTTCCGGTTCCAGCACAGCACGTGCTGAGCTATGCAGGGACATTTCCAACCTTCCTTCCTTCTACTCTCCCCCCCATCTTCCTGTCCCCCAAAAGATTCCCTTTTGGTTCCATTAAAACTTTCAGAGTATAGCTCTGGTCAAAAATAAACACGTGATGTAGCATAGCATTAGTTTCTTTTAAATCACAGTGTGCAATGCATCATTCGGTACCTAACGCTCGGAACGTCTGCCCCGCTTCTCATGAAAACCATTCTTCAAAATAACCTATGCAAATATATTTTGACTATATGTTACATTCATTTAAAAAGAGAAGAGAGGTTCTCGGTTTGCAGGTTTGTTTTTTTTTTTCAGTGTACTACTTAAGTGAAAGGTCTGATGTGAAAAAGGTACAAGCAAACAGGACATGCCAAGACTCGATGCCTTAGATGGTGATCATATCAAAACTGTACAGGTATGTACACCGTGGTGGTCAGGTGTGCTTCTTCCCAAGAAAAGACCTTTGCGTCATCGTGCGTAAGGTAACCACAAAGTTTTGGTAAAAAGAGCATTTAATGAGCAAAGGATGACATGGAGGGGCGAGTTCTCCTGCTTTTGTTGGGCAGTCCTGAAGTGACATCTCCGTTCCCTTCGGGGAGTTCTTCCTTCTTTCGGACTTTGAGACGAGTGAGGAGCTTTATTACCCAGACGTCCCACTCCTCTGGCAAGAGCAACAGGAGGAAGCCCAGGCCGATAATAACGATGGCGATGACTCGGACACTGTTGAAGACAATTTCACTCGTGTAGTGATCAACAACTGTGTGGGACATTGAACTGGTGTTATTACGTGGGACAAAGCGTTAGGGCAGTACCCCCTTCCCTCCCCCCTCCCCGGCTCCGAAGGCTGGGCTGGATGAGCAGGAGAATGCTCTGCCTGCCGGCTCAGCATGGGGCATGGCACAACCCAGGTGGGAGTGGAGAGCAGGCCTGGGGGCTCAGGGTACAAGTGGGTACAGCTGGGGCCTGCAGCAGCCTTTCACATGCTGCCAGCATTGCGTTAGAGTGAAAAGGCATTGCACTACCATTGTTTGTCAGCACTAAGCAGAGGTCTTCAGAAAACGCTCCCTAACCCTTATGCTGTGGCTTTTGAATTGAGATCACCTGTGTATCCCTGGAGCTGTGGGAGGCAAGCACCTGTCGAGGCAGCCAGCAGGCATGGATTTAAGAGCCTGCTCTGGGAGGGTTTTTTCACTCCCTTAACTAGCACTAGAGAGCCTCAGCAGGCAGCCTCCTGCCAGCACTGCCTGCAAGTCCTGCATTCCCTTAAGGAGCAAGGAAGTATAAACGACAACATAGGAATGGGTTGTTGTTTATTCTGATGGCTAAGCAAGAAGGGTAAGGGCTATGGCTTGGGCTGGGATTGCACTCCCCTGTCTACCCTCACAGCCCTGTAGTCTCTACACCTGCAATATTATTTACCAGGGCAGGCACATGTTTGTTCTAGAGGGTAAGCAATTATATTTGTTTCAATTTAACATTAAGCCTGCTTGCAAAAAAAATCATTACGAATTGATTTCTACTTCATCAGAGAAGTCTTACTCCAGTCTGTAGACAGATGATCTCAAATCTAGTTTGTTTTTCAATAACCCACCTTCTCCAGGCAGTAACTTAAAAAGCAATTTTAGAAATAGTAATAGCTGTGCAATATTCTACAATATGTATTTAACAATTAGAGTATACACTTCTAAACAGTGTCATCTCCGTAAGTTTCTAAGAGAAGATTTAAAATGTCTTTAATGGAGGTCTTTGCTTTTACCCCCAGCAACTATCTGGGAGGCTGTAGATCTCGTGTGGTCATCAAGATGCAGAAGTCAGAAATCCTTACCTGCATTGACTGGGACGCTCAGTACAATTCCAAGAGAAATCAAGGTGGGGTACGTAATAGCAATTCCGAAATTCAGTAGGATATTGAATGCTGAAGAAGGAAAGAAAACCACCTTTTACTACCATGATACCAAGCAAAGAGAATGTCACTTGAAATGTCTTTGCTTTATTACTCCCTCTGTATGTTTTCCACACAGAAAGCAGGGATCTGCCCAGGATGCTGCTGCTCACAGGGAGCTCTGTCCTCCTGGTGCCAATGGCAGAATCAGGGTGAGGTCTGGCCACAACCCATCTCACAGTGTAATCCTTGGTAACACAGGTGGACTCCTGGCCCTTCCAGCTTTCTGCACCAATCCACTTGGTCTGGTGGTTGGCAACCCTGCCTGTGGCAGGGGAGTTGAAACTGGATGATCTTTGAGGTCCTTTTCAACCCAGGCCATTCTATGGTTCTGCTGAAAGGAAATACTTCTCCTGTAGGATATTTCTGCCAAACAGTTGGATGTATTCATATATTTATTTATTTAAAGAGAACCTAGCCAGTACTGGTCAACAGGCACCGAGGCACAGCTTTCTGGTAATACATGTACATGTACTGTGACTACTTAGGGTAAAAGAAGCAGTGATTCAGGACAGGGTTGGAGAAGAGCAGAAATTTGCAGCAGAAAGGAATGTTTAGGTGATGTGAAACTATTACCCGTTTTAGGGACAAACTGTCAGCACTCTCAACACATCTGGCTCAGCAAGGAACAGCATCACGCTTCTGATGATCGTGAAACAATAATGCCTGGATTTAGCATCCTGTCCAAGCCAAGATCCCTTTGTAGCAGAAGACAGGTGGCCAGCTACCAAATCCCCATCAGCCTCAGGCAGTGCTACATTTTTAAAAGGTGCTTGTCAATTAGGAATGGCCATTAGCTATTACTTCTTTCTGTCAACAGAGGCACCAGAGGCTGGCCTTGATGGGCAGGGCCTAAAGGCTTGGTGATGCTGATGATCTCAAGGTGTAGCGGTAAGGAGATTTGCAGTGAAATCTTGCAGCCCCTTTTAACGATGGCCTTAATGCTTGGGCTTGCCCATAACAGCAGGAGTAGGGTCTGTATTTCCACCTAGGAATGGACCCCCCGTGACTTACTGAGCTAAAACTTAGAAGAAGGAAAATTGGCTCCACTATGTCAGAGAGCTGTAGCTTCCACCAGAGTCCAGTTTCTGGCATGTTCTTCCACCCCGAGCAGCCCGAAGGCTCCCTGTGTACTCACTCAATAAGAGAATTGAAAATCCGCAGAGGTTTCCCCAAGGAACGATGTCAAAAGAGCTCCAGTATTCCACTTTGGTAAAATAAAGGATGACAGGAATACAGGTAACGAAGAGGACATTGAAGACGGCCAACACGGACAGGAATAAGGCAGCCTCTCCAAATTTTGCACTGCCCAGCAGAAGTTTGAATAAAACCTACAAGACAAAGCCACACAGGCTGCTGTAAGTCTCACACTTCCCTGGCAGGCAGGCAGCCTAGCTCCAGAAGCTTCCCATGTCTTGTTTCTGCTTGGGGCAAGGGGACTGTGAAGGGAGCATGTATGCAGCAGTGTGGGCCAGACACCTTCCTGTGGGGAGACCCAGTTGTGCTTACCTTGTAGAGGGCAGACATTGAGGCAGAGCCCACCACCAGGGCTATCCCAATAACAGAGTGGCTGTGAAACCCATCCGCGTACGTCATCATCACTATCCCTGCAATAGCAAATATAGCAGCCACGATCTGGTTGGAGACAAAGAAAGAAAGCTAGTGTTACTGGACAACCCCCAGTGTGGAAAAACGTGAAAGCAGCTTTATGTGAGAGGGTGGTACTTCTGTATCATCTGCCCCTGTCCTGAGGTAGGCAATGAGTATCAACCCAGGTTAGTGCCTGAGGAGCTGAAATGCTGCCCTCACAGGCAGTTCCCTTGGCTGGCTGGGCTGCAGAGAGAGCTGTGAAAGAGAGGCTGTACTGGGCAGCATGCAGCAGGCCAGCCTTGAGCATCCTGTCTTGGACTGAGGTGAAGAGTGGGTTCGTCTCTGCCACAGAGCCTCCCCATCAGCGGGTCCTGGCAGCATGTATGAGACAATAATACACAACTAAGAAACCCCTGGTGCTGGCAGGAAAGGCTCTGAGTCCTAAGGTGGTTTTGGGAGAGAGCACATACACGGCATGTAGCAAACTGCCAGGGCAGAGAGCAGTGGTTGTCCATCTGCACACCTCCTCCCCCGAGAACCAACCAGCACTGCGCTCCTCACTGACAGTGCCACAGGATCGATGAGCAGCAGTACAACACACACTTTTTCACTTTGATCAAAATGGCCAGCATAGCCAGCTGGGATAAAAGTGACGCTTCCCTGCCTCCAGGACTATCTCGGGATACCCTTGCTTATGTACTCAGCAAAACTCAGTTAATCTGTTTTCTGGCTACCGCTACCTGGGAAGCTGGATGGATGAGCACAGACACCAGCTGGCAGGGCTGGGCTGTTGGCAGGGTGTTGTGCAGCACTGTGAGCCGCCTTTGGCTGCAACCCTGCAGGCTGTCCAAGCCTTCTGCTGGAGGGGAATACTTCCTGCAAAGCTAATTCTCAGCAGTAAGGTACACAGCCTCTCCTGAGCACTGAAAGCTTTACTCGGGTTGATGAGCAGAGAGCTCTTCAAACAGGGGGCAAAACATAGGTCTTACTGCTGCGATTGCTGTTATATTAACACGTGACTGCTGATGTGGTGAGGCCGGAGGGACTCATGGGGCCTTTTGGTTTGGTTTCTGCTGGGTCACCATGGTGGATGCCAGGTGCCATCTGCTCAGCTCCACTGCCAAAGGACACTCTGTGCCAAGGGCTGCCAGAATGGCAGCAGGGGCTGTGAGGTTTCCAGTTCCCTTGGAAAACTTTAACTTAACAGAGACAAGCAAAAGCCGTTGTATGCTCAGAGCAGCATGGAGACAGCAGGCAGCCCTGGCGCCCTGGTCTGGAGCAGGTTACCTCATTTCTGCTGGGAAATGCAGCAGGAGAGGCTCTTCCTCTCTCTCCGTGGGTCTCTGTGCTGCCACTGCATAGGCCACTGCTCTGGAAAAGGGGAAGGAAAGGCAGAGGGAGAGAGGGAGAAGGAGACAGAGCTAAGGAGTCACTTACCCTCACTCCCATGAACCTGTCCCGCAGAACGATCCATGAGAGCAAGAACACAAACGCTTTGTTGCAGCAGAACAGCACGGAGACATCCGTAGTGTTTATTTTCTTTATTGCATGTAAGTAAAGGTAGTTTGTGAGTGTCCAGAGAACACCAAAGGGTGCTGCCTTGGTAAAAAACACCTTCAAAGTCAAGCCGTTGTCTCCAAAAAAACGGCAGCACTCCCTGGAACAAGGAGAGAAAGGCAGCATTAGTACACCAGCCAGTCTCAGTCTGCAGCAAACACACGGGTTTCTTTTCATTCTTGCTTCTTGTCCTTTCCTCTGGGGGAAGAGGGACACACACCTTAAAGACAACGAGAAAAACAGATCAGTGCCTGCTGCAGCAGCCATCACTGGGCTTGGGCTGTGCTTGGGCCTGCCTCAAGGCTCTTAGCTGCATTCCCTGCTCTGGGAGTCTCTTCTCACTGGTTTCCACAGTAATGCTTCTTTGTACCTGTTTTCTCCAGTTTCACTAATTCTGGACTGCTTTTTGCAGGCTGCGGCTTCCAGAGAAGGCCTCTTCAGGCACAGGTCTCCCATCGAGCACCAGGCTGTAAGGGGGCTGTAAGTCAATGAAGCCTGAGGAGCATTAAGAGAAACGTGGTCCTGTTGTGAAGGATGACTCAATACCATAATCATGAGAAGCAAGACAGGGCTGGGAGGTAACACAATAACACAGCAATCCCAGAGCAGCTGGCGCAAAAACCACTTCAGATTAAAAAACCTTCAGCTCTAGATGTTTTGACAGAACATTCTGGACGTGGTTCCTCCTGTTGTCTGGTTATCTCCATTTGGCCCACAGGGGCACTCTGTACCCAGTGTATATCTTGATGCTTTATGGGGACTCTCTGACAATTACAGAGCTGTGACTGTGCAGGCATGCCTGGATGCACCAGAGGAGCCTGCCTATGGATATTTTAACATCATCATCTGCTAATGAAAACGTAACTTGTTAAGAAAGACAAAAGACACTAGCCCAGGAGCAGTCCATAAGCACTCAGCATCCCACAGTATCCCAAATTTGCAGGATGGATGGGGAACCTGGGCTGTCCCCTTGCAATTGTGCAGGACAGAGAACTCCAGCTGTGCCTGCAGACTTGGGCAGTGCTGTGAGGCTGTGCTTACGGAGCTGATGGTTTTAAGCAGAATGCAGCATCTGCATGGGCACGCAGCATTGCTTGGTGCTATGGCCAGTGAGGCCATAACCCTATGGGCTGCTGTAGGGTCAGTGCATGCCTGGCACTGTGTGTCTCCACATGGTAGGACTGGAGGTTTGCTCTAATCACAGTAATCATTTTACAAAATAAATGAAAGGCATTAGCAAGGCAATGGTGAAAGGCTGTGGAAGACTGGGTTGGAAAAGTCAAACGAAGAGTTCTCACTGCTGTTATTTTTTCACTCTGAATTATTGTTTCATAATCCTTCACATCTAGTTCTTGTTTTTCCTCATAATCTTTTTAATGCGTATCTTCATTAACACAGCAAATGGCAAATTAGCTCTGCCCCATTGTGCGTGTCTGCAGCACAACAAGGCTATCAAAATATCTGTCACTGGAACTGAGCATCCCCAGTGAGGTTAATGGCAAGCAATTGGTGCCAAAATCACATGCTAAGTAAGCATGCTAAGTCATGTTGAAAACAGGTGCAACAATCAAATAAAGCCTGCAAATAAAAAATGACACTAAAACTCTCCCTCTCCCCCCACTGAACTCAATTACATGCTTAACAATATTCACCTTCCACCACCTCTTATGTCTTTATGCATTGCTAGGTAGCTGGGATATTTCTCGCTGCTTTGAACCTCATGCAAATGAATGCGTGCAATTCTGCCCAAACTGGAAGGAATTCTTTTCACCTCTCTTCGCAAATAAGACCATATCCCAAAGACAAGAATCAGACAAAACACACACAGCAGTTCCCCCAGCCCAGGGTTTCAGCCTCCTGCTGCTCTTAGCAAAGCCAAACTACGCCATAAAGGTGAATAAGCCATTGAAGCTACCATTACACTTCTGGGGTAGATGTAGTAAGGTAGGAAATACCTGGGAAGAATGCATATGTGCTTTACAACAAGCCAGCTATTTCACTTTCCAGCCTGCTGACTTCTGCTACAATTTTCTCACTGTCAGTGTTCATACTACAGCCTTCACCAAAGCATATTTTCTTCTGCCATTGCTCCCAGTGGTTGATTTTTGTTCTTTGTAGTCTGTACATCTTGCTTTGTTTGACCTTGCAAGGTGCGTACCTGCAAATTGAATTTAGCTAAATAGCTCCTGATTTTCACCAGTGAGCAAAGGCTCTCCAGAGCAGAGCAAAGCAGCCAGCGTGCCAGGGAATCTGGCTTCTTGATTAGAGATTGGCAGGCAAAACATGTTTTGCTGATCCCTGCACTGATGAGGCCTGCATGGATAAATAGTCTGCAGCAACACTGCTAACAGTCATACATTCTCCATTCAATGCACAAAAAATAGTCACGAACCAAAATGTCACATCTCATCTTCTGCAGGACCTGAAAGCCAGCTGCAGTAAGCAAAAGCCAACAGGACAGCTGAGGTGCTGTGGCAGTTGAAAGAAGGGAACAAAATGAAAGATTTTTTTTCATAATTTACCCTGTTAGGGCCATAGCATTCCTCCTACATTATGTTCACAAGATAGGTAGAAGATTGCTGTGCAGAGATGAAACAAATATAAATTAGGCAAAAATATTCCTCAAAACTCCCCTCCAGGAATGTACGCCGTGTGCTTCCTAAACTATGGGATCAGGCCTCCACTTCCCTCTCCCTCATACCAGTGCCCATGTGGACTGCAGTCACATCACTATTAGCCTCTGGGTGGGCAGATGTTAGAGCTGTGCAAGCAGAGGCTGCTTCCTGATCCCCATGTTACAGATAGCAATGCTGAGGCACAGAGCATGAAAGTCCACATGTATTGAAGGATGCAGCATGAGGAATGCCTGTAGGCTGCACCTTCTGAGATCTGGGCCTTGCTTTTCCTGCATTGTTTTTTTGCAGCCAACTTCTCTTACTGATCAAGACAGCCTCTATGTGCTTTTTTTCTGCACCACTGTAGGTTCAGGTGCCAGGAGAAGAGTTGCATGGAGGCTCCTATGGCATGTCCCAGGTCAAGAACCACTGCAAATAAACCTGCCAGCCTCAGCACTTTGCAGAGGTGCCTAGCACCTTCTGAGTCTCAGCCATGGAAAAGGTGAAGCTTGCACCACTGTGTCCTTAGAAGGGTCTTTAGAAAGGTCAACACAGCAAGGGCAGAATGACATAAAAGCACCATTTCCACAGCAGATTACATGAGGATAAGTTCCTTGAATTGATTGCTCTGGGCTATTGGGTCAGATCAGTTTGAGAGTATGTCTACAAATCTGACGATGCAGCAGCAAGCTCAAGCAGCAGGTTGCTCATGGCTGTGCCATACTCTGCTCGCAGCCTGGCAATGAGTTCAGGTCAGTGCCCAGTACATCCTCTCACCATCCCTGCTAGGCCTCAGGGGCAATGTCCCCTACCCTGCTGTCCCTCCATGTGCCTGGGACACCACAGGATTTTTCTTGAAACTCAGAAAGGATGGAGAGGCTCCTGATATAAGATACTGTACACTTGTCTTCCTCAGCTCTGGGGATGAAGAAAAAGGCTTGAAGTGAAGCTTAAAGAAGTTAAGGTCTGAAGCTTGTCACCAAACCTACCTGCTTACAAACTGAAAAACAACTACCTGAGATACTAAGCAGTTCCTCAGAAATTGACATTATTTAAAATAATACAATGGTTTGTTAATGCCCATATTTATCTGTAAGTATTTTATTAAATGCAAAAAATGACCCTAGAAGCCAATCCAGGTACAGCTACCACTTTTAACAACGTTGAGCAGTACTTGTTCCTACCTGTAATTTGGAGCCAATGTTCTGCCTTTATACTTTACTATTCAAAGAGTTTCCATCTCATTTGCTGAAACTCATTTGGATAAGAAATGAAATGAGAAAAACATCTTCTCTTGAATTAAACAAAAAATCTCCAGGCTGATCTCAATTCTCCCAACTAGAGTGACAGAGGCAATTGGTTTTGTTGAGCACTGTACATGTGCCAAACTATGCATTTGCACAACAAATGGTCCCAGGAAATGCTTTGCTATGGCTTTACATAATACACCAGAATGGCTCCAAAAGAAGCAAATAATACAAATCTTGAAAACCACACGAATACATATTTCCAAGACAAGTCTTAGCGTGCACTCAGAAGCCTTAGTGAGACACTGTTTAAACTAACAACAACAAGAAGCAGTTTAAAAGTACAAGACCAGATTGCAAGGAGAAGTCACAGAGTACAAACTGTCCTAGCAAAACCCAGCTGTGAGAACCTTGGGCTGCAAAGGCGTGAAGAAGTGTCTGCCCAATGCCACTGATGCCTCTCATCGTCATGACTACAGCAGCTAACTCCTTGTCCCTTCCATTTGGGACTGTCCTTCCTCAGGGTGTAGGTCTCTAGTCTTCCCAGTGCTTCCTACCTGATGACGACACCAAGGGACATCAGCACCTTTTCTTGAGAAGCCTGGCACTGTTCTCTGCCTGCAGCACGCTGCCAACTGTGGCACTTCCACCAGCACAGAGAGGAAAACACCATTTTGGAAAATGCACCAAGCACTGCTAGCAGAAAGAAGCTTTTAATGCAACAGTGCACAGAGCCTCCAAGCAGTTGCACTTCTCACATGCTGCATTACCCAGCAGTTTCCTAGAGGTATTCAGGGTCTAAATTGCTTTATACTTTTCTGGATTATTGGTTTTATGCAAATAAAGTGTAATACTATTGTTACATGTAAACTCCAAACACCTGTAGACCAGACACACATCACAGTTGGATGTACTCAGAGCTGAGCTTTTTGGAGCTGCTCAAAGGCTGTTTCATGGAGCAGCTGGTTACAGAGTCCACAAGGGGATGCTGCCCTTGACTTCACCTGCTTCGGCACACAGCATCTGCCTTAAATCTAAGCCAGATCCCAGCCCACTGGAGGCCAGTAGGCACTTGGATGACACATTTGCCCAAAGTAGAGGGAGTAGAGAGAGGACTGGATACTTTCCAGGTGCAAGGGGGGGAGTCCTGATGAGCCTGTGGTGCAAGCAGTAAGCAGCTGCTGCTGCGTAGAGTCAGCAGATGGGCCCATTTGCACAGCAGGGTGTGAGGGCAAGAG